TCGTCAGCAATATAATGTGTAAACGTAGCTGGTGTTCCCCTCTGGTTTCAAGATATTCCTCATTAGAAGACAGAAGTGCTGAAGGCTGCAAGTCATTTAATAAGACTGATATTGCTAACTGATTACAGATGGGATCTCTGGAGTGAAGTTAGAGATGGGGGAAAATGGGATTATGAAAAATGAGAACACAGGCTTCAGTAATAAAGGTACTGTCATTAGTTGTTGGATGCACTCGTTTGGAAAATACAGCTACCGTTGTATGCCAGTAAGCATAAAGCATCTTAAAATGGTCCCATTCCAGTGCAGAAATGACTGCCTGAGACGTAGCAAGATACATATATGCATTGCTTGTATATTGTCCATGCTGTCCATCGTTCATTGGCATAGACCAGTGTTTCTCAACTTTTTTTCAATCAGGGCACCCTAAAAAGTATACAAAATCTTGAGGCATCCCAGTCTAAAATGTAAGTGGGGGGGGGACCCCACGCAAGAACACATGAAAAAGTGGGATTCCATACTTTGCATCAAAGTCCTTCCTTTAAATGAAGATCCCCTTCACATCAGAATTCTTCTCACACCAGTCTCCCTTTAAATCAGTAGTCCTACCTTCACAAAATTTCAAGGCACCCATGAGGAAGCCAGAAGGCACCCCAGTGTGCCTGCACCCTGATTGAGAGGCTGGCATAGACTATGTCGAACTGTCAGGGTAGACATTTGCTGAAGATTCTGCAACTGGTAGATTGTGTATGAGGAATATGACGTATCAAAATATGAGAATCTGAAAATTAAAAAAAGGATTTATGGACAGGATGTAGTTTCTGGGGTGTTGGTAATATTCATTCTTTTAACGTGCATCTTAACCCAAGAACAAAAATGTAATACATTGCAGCTTACCAGTCCTTATCGCCGTCTCCTGTGTTATGAAGAGGGGGAGTTGTTCTGTAGTCCTAAGAGCCTGTGTCGGCAGGCTTTGGTTTGCATCAGATGGGTTTTGCATTTCTGTACGAGTCTATGGAAATGCTAGACCCCATTAAAGCAGGTCAGGAGAGGTCATTGGTAGGTAGATGCACCTGTCCATGAATTCTGAATGAGCTCAGAAGTGTCTCCTACCGAAGCTATAGGCCAGGGTTCTGCAGCCTCAGCACTCCAGCTATTGTGGAACTACAATCCCATGAGGCATTGCAAGACTCCGACAGTCACAGGCATGATGGGGATTTGTAGTTTTAGCACAGCTGGGGTGCCAAGGTTGCTTACCCCTGCTGAAGACACAAGCTCAAATCTTGTTCAAACAGGCCTTAACACACTTCCTGTCCTAGGGTGACCACACTGTACCGCCATAGCAAGTAAACATTGTCACCCTAGGATGGGATGTGTTGGAGGTGCAAAACTCCTCCCCCGTATGTTATGGAGATTTAAAAAAAAGAGGGGAAAGTGTTCTGTAGTCCTAAATGCTTCCTGTAATAGGGTGACACCACGTCTCCTCAATGGTACAATGAGTGAGTGTTGTCACCTAGGACAGGAAGTGCTACTTTCGTACCCACACTTTGCAGAGTCTTCCTACATCTGAGGATTAGTCTCTAATGTTTATTGGAGGAAGGTGCACAGTCATTGTCATCGGTAGCTCCCGCTATGCCTCCCGGAACATTTTTATTTCCAAAAAACGTGCCGTCAAAAAGCTGACACAAGTTAATAGCTGAAAACATTCCTTTTGTTATTGCGGAGTTAATCTTTTATCGAATGTTTTCAATACCAGGCAGAAGAACAATAAATGTAATTGCAGCAGCTTTTTAATGGCCCGGATTGTTTTTCCAGTTACATTCAGCTTTTGGTGGCAAGTTACGGTAATGATCAGCTCGGAGGCTTCGCGTGACATGATATGCGGCGCGGATCCGGTTTCCCTACTTCGAGGGGGTACCTATGGAAGGGGGACAGGGCACCTGACACCATCTTAAAACATTTAACACTTTGCCGAGTCCGGTAGTCACAGCGCCTGTCACCTCTGGAGATCTGGGATTATGCCAGTGACAGGCGATCCGATATCTGCAAATCTGTCACAAGGCCAAGGCGGCGCCTTGTAACTGATACGAGCCCTGGTCTCAATGTCTCTGGCCGTCTTCCAAACGTTTACCTGCTCTGCAATGGAACACCGCTGTGGACTGTTACTATGTGGATGATCACATAACAAGTTCATTATCATTTTAGAACTCCGGCCTTGTGTGTGTCAAAGGAAACCTTACACAACATGGGATGCATCCAATCCGGTCTTTTAACATTTGTCCACCAGGGGGAGCTGTTATTAAATGGCCAGCAGCATATGGCATGACCTGAGTATTGCAGAGCACACTGGATTTGGTGCATTGGGGAACGTTTGGTTTGGCACGGGTTCTTATTGAACCATTCGGCACTCGCTATTCTGGCATTTGGGCAGTGGTTACAAAGCTTTCGTAAGAGACAGTGAAAGCCCCCTACGCCCTATACCACCACCACCGCCATCTAAGTGTATCATCCTGGATGGAGTTTGGCTGTCTGTTTCCCATTGGCGGGGATCACTCTTTACTTCCTGTACCAGAGACATAACAAAGGAAGAGAACATTTCTCCAAAGTGAGAGGAACTCCCATCTTAGTTTCAGTAGAACAGGTGTCCTCATTGGAAGATATCCCCTCTATTCCTGTTCTGGTGACAACTGTACAGTTTAGGATTTCCCATCCCTCTCTGTCCCAGTGATGATGGTCACCAGGACAAATGGAGAGGGTGAATCTCCCCAGTGGGGGGACACAGATGGCAATAAAAATCTGGAATGGGTTCTGTTGTCTAATCCAGTGTTTCTAAACCTTTTTTTTTAGTCACGGCACCCTTTTAAAAGCATGCAAAATCTCGAGGCACCCCAGTTTAAAATGTCCGATTTTAAAGGGGGCCCCATGCAAAACCTCACAAAAAGTTAGTTTCCCCCTCCTTCACATCTTCTGCACCTTCAATTCAAGCATCAGTCTGCAGTGGTAATGTGCTAACATGGAGCCTGCTGATAGGAGAAGAGAGCAGAGTGACACAGAAGAGCTAATCAGCTTCTCCTTCTCCACAGGCTGTGGGAGGCACAAGACCTGTATGTGGTGTTGAATGGCAGTAGAGTAAATAACAATTTTAAATAATTATATCTGTGAACTGCAGTGGGTCTCCTGCTCTGCCAGGCAGGGCTGTGCTTTGTGGTCAAGCTGTATAAATCTCAGAACTGGATGGACACAAATCCAAATCCCTTAGATGTCTGTCATCTATGTATTTCTGGAGTTCAGCTATAAATGTAACCAGCAGGAATCACCCTTTTATAAGTTGGGGTGTTGGGGATGATGACCGGTGTAGTTGTATGACATGAAGACATAAAGGTTGTGTTCTAGGATGACATCTGCAGGAGATTCACTGACCAGGTATTCACACAGATCTAGAAAGCAGCATTTTTGCCGCCCCTCCCGTGTCTGTGGGAGCCCCCGCCAGTCTGGTTATTGACCCGCTTGATGGTGTTTTGTGCAGAGACATTCCGCCAGGGCCAAATACCGCTTCCCACCACATTAAGTTCCACTTATAGGGACTCTCGCCCTGATGTCGAGCACTTTATTCCCTGCGAGCAATCGATATTGGTGTCTTGTGGTTTATAGAAGTGTATAGATCCGGACTCTGGTTCTACGTCAGGATTGTGCCTCAAATACAGCCACACGTTCTGAGCATTTCATAGACCAGCATGTAGAAACCAGCAAACCTTGTACATGTATGTGGAGGTTCAAGGAGCGGTAGTGGTGTACAAAGCTTTCTGTCACTGCTTAGAGACTGCAAAGGAAAACGCTAGTGCAAGGGTAGACGCATTAATCCAGGAGGCGGGCGGTCCAAATCGCAGGAGGCGGTCGTTGCAAATCGCAGTGCCGGTCAGGGGAAATCTCCCTCTGAGCGGAAGTTCCGGTATCGGGGAAGGTACTCGAGTACTTGGTATCAGCACCGACACTAGTATTGGTGCATCCCTAGTATGCAGGCAAGGCAATGGAATGGTTTCTATATCTGACTATCATTTGGATTCTTTGAGGTTCCTCTGCAGTGGCGTATTTCGCTCTGGTGTAACCCCGCTCCTATTAGAGGTCAGCCTGATCTGTACATATCTGACATTCCAAATGTTATTCCAGGAAGTGCTGGGACAATTCCCGGCAGATCAGGGCTGATAGGGATGGCAGATGTGAGCCTAGCAGCTCTCCTGGCCTTGAATGTAATCTGCTCACCAATAGCTGTCAGTCACCTTACAACCTGCTCCCTATGAGGCTGGAGCACCTGTACTGAGTAGTCGGGTGCATTTCTGTGCGCATGCAGCTGCGTGATTCGGGGACTGACCAAGCTGACCAGATTTACATTAGGTTGGCTTCTACAGAAATCTCTACAAGAGTAGTGGGGTCAGCTGGGCTTCAGACCTAAAGCTTGAATGAGGCTGTATGAGCAGTATTTGAACATATTGGAGGATATTTCATTAGACCTCAGCAGGTGGAATGACTACAATTCTAGCTAATGGCCTCTAGTGGATGCTTGGATTGTTATACATACATGGGGCTCACACTGCTCCCTGCCACATGCAAAGCTTTATTGAACAGCCAGCAACAAATACTCCACCCTTGCCCTCCCGTCCAGACGCTCCTTCCCCTGCTGGGTCCTAGGACCGATTCACACCTGATGCATTGGAGCTGCTCTGGCCGTCGTTTCCAGCGCAGCTCCAATGCAAGATGAGGCAATTTGCCTTGTCACAACTGTGATCAGTTCACGCCACCATTTACGATGCAGGATTCGACGCACTACAACTGCCTTGCACCCCACTGTCCCCGTAGAACTGACTGAAATGTCACCTGTGATATTTCAATAAAGTTTTATTTAAAAAAGCAGTGCAATGTGCTGGGGCACCGCACACCAGACACAGTGAGATTGTATAATGTAAAAAGTTTGATTCTTACAACCTTTTTGTTTTCTTGCATTGCAGAAATCGGAGGAATGTGACAGCATAGAGGAGCCGGCACAGGAGGATGAAGGCTTTATGGGAATGGCACCGCTCCTGCAGGCTCACCATGCCATGGAGCGGGTGGAGGAGTTCGTCTGTAAGGTACGCAGGAAAATCTTCACTACAAAGCCAATTCTAGTTTAAATTCAGAAAATAAAAAAGCAATATTCCCTTAATCCATCAGAGGAAGTCCTGTGTAAGCGCTTTGCGTTCCCATTATTGCTGCTCCTCAATTTCAAGGAAATTTAGATAACATTTTTTTATTACGCTTTTTTTTTTGTACATTGAGGGACACAGGACATTTTTCACCTTCAGGTTATACTGTCACCTACAGGAGGATTAGACACTGCAAACAAACTGCTGGCCAAACTAGTATAACCCTTTTTTCTAGTGTCCTAGGAGGATTGTCTAACCTTGTAACCTAGCCCCTTTTTCCTAATTTTTTGTTTGTTGGGTCTGTTAGTGTTGCTGTGTTGCCCACTCTTCAGTCGGAATACATTTGGACGTCCCGAAGGTGAAAGACTTGCTGTGTCCTTCAATGGACAAAAAAGAAAATGTGATTTTTGTAAAAAAAAAAAAATTTACTCCCCAAAAAAAACTTTTTGGGGGGAATCCATTGAGGGACACCGGTCCCACCTCTGTGTTTCTGATCATGCTCTGTACTGCTTTGCTACACAACATGCTGGTAATAGGAGGCATTAGTCTGGGCTGGCTTACAGATTGTGTTTTCCAGTGTCCAGTCCTTCTGTAGGTGGCAGTATACACCGAAGGTGAAATAGACTTCCTGTGTCCTTCAGTAGATTCCAAAAAAGGATTTTTTCATTGAATACAATTTTCCAATCCAGTTGGATCCAAAATGCCATTTCTAGTGTCCGATAGAGGCATGAAGTTAAATTAGAGGAAGTATAACCTCACTTCCTGTCTCCGTGCTGGTGTTTGGTTTTAATGTCCCTGTACTGAGGAAGATGCTTCTATTCCATGCGGGCGAGTTGTCGGATATTAAACCCTGTGCAATGCCGCTTTGGGCCAGTCAATGAATCTTCTAGCTGTCTTCCGGGACGTCTACAGCAGATAACATGTAAACATTGCTGTGCATGTCCTCAGAGCCTTTCATCTGCGGTGACGTCAGTTTCTATTTCAGTAGAATATTGTTAGTCATTACAGGCCGGAGTTCACATTTCCTGTAATGCCGATGAGTTTATTATGTGGTGTGAAGAACCAATTTCATGGCAGCGTGTCCTGAGGATAGACTCTACACAGTCATAAGGAGTGTGTTCTTAGGAGAAGCTCCATGTGATCTCATATAGGTAACATGGAACTTTCAGCAATTCAACAGGGAGTCCTGCAGGCTTATTAAAGAGGAACTTTCCCCAGATCTTCAAACTAACAACAAAGACACCTTTAGAAATGTTTAGTAATGACAATCTACAAGCACATACTTCTAGATAATTGCCGGCTTTGTGTTCTTTGCATACCTTATTTCCCTTTTCTTCCCCAGTCTTCTCACAGTGGCCATTTTTACCAAGGGCAGATTACTAGATCTCCCTTTACTTCCTGGAACTCTGGCACATGTGACTAGGACATGTGACCATGCACATCATCTCATGGTGGGAAAATGCCTTTCCCTGAGATCTGGTGAGATTACAGATGAGATTTCCCAGCAATGCTCTGCTGATGTAACCTTCCCAGGATGCAACGCTTGAGCACTATTACATAATTTGTGCCAAAGCGGACCAGGAAGTGGGGAAAAAAATTGTAAGTAAAATAAATGTAAGATCATTTCATATCGGCATGCAGAGCTGAATGATGATGGGATTTTTAGTCAAAGGGGGTAAAGGTCAGCTTTAAGTAAGGCAGTGCAAATAAAAGTGATCTGTGATGTAACCTATAGCAGCCAGTCAGGATTTTAGTTTCCGGAAGTCCAATCAGGGAAAGGTGGTTGTTTTTTGGTTACTATGGGTTCCATATTTACATTTTTTGTAGGGATTTGAAGAGAAACCTTGTGATGGCCTTATGGTGATAGGGGTATTGTGTTTTATTTAGCTTGGGTTACTCTGAGGATGACTCTCAGCTCGGAGTCAAAGGTCACCTGATGTCTGATAGTTGCTGCTGTAGCAGCTGCCTACCTCATTCTAATAATGCACGCGGATATGGGACTAATATACTTTATGACCCATCTTGCTGCTCCACAACTGTACTGACCTTTTTTCTTTTGTACCTCTTACATCTTCTCCCCTATGAATACAGGTGTGGGAGGGTCGATGGCGAGTCATCCCCCATGACGTGCTCCCCGATTGGCTAAAGGACAACGATTTCCTGCTGCACGGTCACCGCCCACCCATGCCTTCCTTCAGGGCGTGCTTCAAGAGCATCTTCAGGATACACACAGAGACCGGCAACATCTGGACCCATCTTCTCGGTAAGAGTCCAGGTGTCATGTTTCTAGGAATTAGGGATACTAGTATCGTTATCGCCCAAATACTCCTGATACTTATCCCGATACCGGAACTTCTGGTATCAAGAAGCCGGGCGGCAAGTCATTACACGATGCCCGGCTTCGTTTTTGGCCAGGAAGCTGGCTTCATGCTCCCTCGTCACCAGGGAGCATGAAGCTGGCTTCCCAGCCAATCAGGAAGCCGGTTGGGGCGGGTAATGACTCTCCCTCCCTGCCTCCTGATTGGCTGGGAAGCCTTCTCCATGCTCCTTTGGCACTTGGTGACGAGGGAGCATGGTGCCAGCTTCCCGGCCAATCAGGAAGCCAGGCGGCGAGTTATTACATGCTTCCCGGCTAATGCGGAAGCTGGGGGGCGTGTCATTACACGCCGCCTGGCTTCCTTAATTGGACATTCGGTATCGGTGAGTGCCGTGAAAAAAAAAATCAGTCCTCCATACTGAAAAAGCGGTATGGGTGCATCTTTAGTAGGAACACGTGGATGCAGGAAGAAATGTTCGTTCTTGTTGGTACTCTGGCAAGATTCAGTGAGGTTTTAGGGGCCACGCTCAGCTTTTCCTCTGGCTTTCTGTCCTTCCTTCCCTGTTCTTTAGTAGAGAACTCCTCTTTGCACATTTCTCTTCTGGGCCCCATGTGCTATAGCGATCACCAACCAGGACAGACATCCTGAGCTGAATCTATAAAGCTGGCCATACACTCTGCTATTTTTTTCGTTTTAACCCGCAGGCTGAGCAAAAAAATAGAGCAGATTCACCCGTCAATGCTAGGAGTGCGTTTATCGAGGAATCCCCGCTGTTCCTTTTGGTATTCCGGCCGCTGTTCGCCAACTGCTTTTAGAATACCCAAACGGAGCCGGCAGCTCATCGGCTGCTGGCTCTGTTCTTATGAAGATTTTCCAACCAGCTCCTTTGATCATCTGACTGAGAGATGCGGATCGAAAGGGTGCCAACAGCAGCACCCATTGTGGGAATTTCACATAGTGTATTGCCACCTTTTAAGTTTGCTGTACAGATTACAGCGTACTGAGGTCATGTCATTACAATTTCCATATGTTTATAAATCTGCATCTTGGATATCACATGAGCAGTTCCCATCAGCCAAATTCTAACCTTCCCCCCTGATGCCATAAGCAAGAGACGGAGCACCGTGTGAGTTTCGCCCCCTTTTCTCTTGTATAATTGTGACTCATTGTTTTCCTAGGAACGTCCAGCGCTGTGCTATAATAACCCCTCCCTGTGCCTCTTCACATCCATTACATGACGGCTCCATGTACATAATCTCCCATCCCGTGTGAAAGCCCACAATGCACCGTGTGTGTCAGTTACTGGGAAGGGCAGGTTGCCGGCTGTTGAGATCGATTTATAACTAGCACAGGAAATGGGGAAGGGCGAGCCAGCGAACATTGCAAAACAATTCCCCAACACTCAATACAGCCGAATGAGATGTTTTCAATCTTTTGGTTGTGTGCGGTTCAGTGTATCGCCTTTCCCATGTACATGTCTTCCTATCCGAGATTATAAATTCATCTGAGCGGCTGCCGGTTTTTCTTTGTTGGGTTTGATGCAGACGCACACTGGGGGATCTTAAGTTATTTTAGAATAGTGGATTTTCGGTGTGTTGCTCCTTTAAGGAGTGTGGTTCCTACCTCGGCCTGATGTATATGTCCCGGATTTTAGAGTTCGGATAGCTCTGCATGTGCTTACAAGTGTATGCAACAACAACCTCATGTCGGCTACAGGTGTGTGTGTGTGTGTGTGTGTGTGTGTGTGTGTGTGTGTGTGTGTGTGTGTGATACCAGCCCATTTATCTCTTCAAAGACCTCCAGCCCTGGTGTGTGTGTGTGGGAGATACCAGCCCATTGATATCTTCCAAGACCTCCAGCCATGGTCTTTGACGGCCATATCTCCAAAACCTCAATGTGGGGGGGGAGAGCTGCCTCACCATTTGCAGCACAGGTTTATTCTAGTTCAGTTTCAGAGAGTTTATAAGTTATTAAAACAGTTGGGTAACCGTTTTTAATGCTCTGTCCGGAAACTAAAAGTTCCAGCAAGCCCTACTGAGCAGAGATATGAATTGTGCATGTGATCCCATTGAGGAAGGGCCCAAAATAGTTACGTGACATCACACTTATTTTATTTGATTAGTTATAGGTACACAAAGCTGTGAGATACAAGCAGACAATTATATAACACACGTTTTATAATGTGCGGTTCCTTTAAAGTGTTCAGGTCCCAGTCATTGTAGAGAACAGAGACACGGAGCCACCAAAGAAGGCCGGACTGCACTGGACAGACATCTCTGGGAGCAGCTGACAGATCGGAGAATAAGAAAAGTTGTTTTATTTAACTTTTTTAAATTGTGATACTTTTAGATTTGGTTAAGACTTTGTTTGGTGTGTGTTCTCCATGTGTGATGCCGGTGGCATGGTGGTATTTAGAAGCAAGAGGACGCAGATAAATAAGTGACGGGAGATTGGAGCCAAGGCAGCTGCTCTCTGCACACTGTATACAAGCTGCTTCCTGAACCTCCTGAGGTTATCACATCATCTGGAATGAGGTTGATCTGCCCCCTACAGGCAGAATTGTGGTACTGCTCACACTTATTAGGGATAAACAACGTCCATCCGAGGGAACCCCACATCTACGTTTTTACCAAATCCTTCTTTGTGCTTAATGTGTGGATTCTGATGAAAGAATGTGTTCAGACTTCTGCAAAGAAACATGGATGTGTTATAAATAGGCGCCTTACACAGGATTCAAAGCCCAGACGGGGGAAAATGTCCCGAGCAATAAAAAGGACGAGTCCCGACCTTAGCAAAAAAACAACTGGCTTCTTGACTTCCCAACCCTAATGAGTGTTTAAAGTGGAACTCCAGGCAAATAGAAGTAGAACATTGAATACACTTATGTGTAGCTAGTGTAAGCACCTATATGTGTTATGGTAGCCTCTTGTAATGCTCCTGCACAGCAGAGGTTACATTTGAAGAGGGAGGACCAGCACTGTTGGCTAGGCAGGGCTCAGTTGCTTTCAGCGATGTCATCAGTCACTATGGACCTGCTAACAGGATGGAGAGCACAGGAATGACCTCATTGGTATGCTGCTGTTCCTTTATTGTCCAATCAGGCTGAGGGGAAGAAAGATGATCAAGGAATCAGAATTTTTGCAACCTTCCCCACCTTATCTAACATCAGATGGAGTACCATTACCATGGGGGCAGAAGGGTGTTGAATGGAGGATACTTGCAATTGTTAAGATCTTTGATGCAAATAATTGAGATCCTGAAATTATGACCTTAGTCTAGAGTGTCGCTTTACCAACTTTTTCCCTCCTATGAAGTGGGAAGTCTCTCTGACCTTCTGCAGTATTTTTAGGCCAAATGACCATGCTGGGCAGATTCTGTCCCTACCTATGTACAGATCATTGACGGGTAAATGGCAAAGAGAAACCTAGCCCTATAACTTGCCTTTGTGTTTTGTTACAGGCTGCGTCTTCTTCCTATGTCTGGGTATTTTCTATATGTTCCGACCCAACATGGCGTTCATTGCTCCGGTGCAGGAAAAGGTGGTGTTCGGGCTCTTCTTCCTGGGTGCCATCCTTTGCCTTTCATTCTCCTGGCTTTTTCATACAGTGTACTGTCATTCGGAGGGAGTGTCGCGTGCCTTCTCCAAGTAAGTACCAGCCTGACAATAGCAGAGCAGAATTGGGTCGTTCTGTCTCATCATTCCCCCCTTACAGTAGATTTAGTTCCCAGATCCTGAATGTTTCTCTCACTTCCTCTCTCCCCAGGTTGGATTACTCTGGGATCGCACTTCTCATCATGGGTAGCTTTGTTCCGTGGCTTTACTACTCCTTTTACTGCAACCCACAGCCATGTTATATCTACCTAATAATCATCTGCGTTTTGGGGATCGCCGCCATTATTGTATCTCAGTGGGACCTCTTTGCAACGCCTCAGTATCGCGGAGTGAGAGCTGGTAAGTGTCTAATGTTTTACAACAGTCGCAAGTGCTCTGTGTATCCTCCTCTATGTTCAGTACGGCCTGGCAACAGAACACACCTCGGCCATAGCATGTCTCTTCTGCAAGCGAAGCCCGCCTGCTCGTAGTTGTTGTTGTTTTTTATTTCCATTTGATTTCCACTTTAAGGACAGGATTCCACCTTGAAGGCGCACTTCACTAGGTCAGTTAGTGCTTTATGGGCCTTTCAGCGCCCGGCATGTTTCCTAGATTTGTAAGGTTGCTGCCTGGTCTTCTGTTCACACGTTTGGTACCATGTTCAGGATTGTTGGCTTCAATCGTAAGATTCTTCCGGCAGCTCTATATAGTCTCTCTATTGAACCCCCTGTATTAACCTGTTGGTTCTCGTGGGCCTGTCAGTTTGTTTGCTGTCCCCCTTCCATGATGCTGGATAGTACATCTTCCCATGTACTTGCAGCACGCTCTGGGTCTCATAGATAGAAGAGGGATAGAAAAAGATGGGGTTTTTTGGTGGCTCCAGAAAGAACAAGTCCAATAAACAGTCTCATAGTAGTATAAAAAGTATACATTTATTTAACAATATATAATAAAAGCATTAAATATGCATGAAAGGATAAAAATAAGAAGCATATACCTCAGGGGAAAGGATATACCTCCTATAAAGAAAAGTGTTGATTTTCTAGTACAGTGCAGCGATCTGGCCATGTATTACACCGCAGCAGAGGTAACATTGGCTCACATATCGGAATGTATCAGGTCTGGGGTTTTGCTGTAAATTGTCATCAGGGTGTATCTGTGCCATATTTGTATCCCTCCAGGGTCATACAATCATAAACATTGTGACTCCAATCACAAATTCCAGAATAAAGCCCTTACTTTTGGATAAAGAAGCGGTGTCGGTACCTTCTCGGGCTGTATGTTTTAGGCCGTAGTCACAGTTGCCGAGGTTAATCCTTAGAGAGCGCGCCGGCCTGACGCAGAAGATCCGGGAGATGATGTTGGGTCACATGGTGGCTTTCTCAGAGACGTTGATATGTAATTGGAGTGTTTTCATCATCTTGGCTCTGCTGTGTAATCTCCTACCCTTCCTCCCCACTAATACTTCCTGCTGGGATCTGTAACTCCTCATACGGCTAATACTCGGCGCGTAAATCTCGCTCTACCAGGTCTGGAGAATCATTTCACAATTGTCAGTAATGATGGCACAGATTCAGCCCTGCTATAAAATCAAGTGGTGTACAATGCATCATCATATTATGAAATGGGAACATTCATCCTGCATTTCGGAGTCATTACTCCACGGCCGTCCTTACTTTAAAGGGAACCCCCACTTTAGCAATAACCTCCACAGTCAGTGCAGCAACAATACACCGGTGTTCATCAGTGTAATGGTCAAATATTTTTGTCTTTTCTGCTGCTTGTGTTGTTCCCTGTGGCTAGTAACCCATGCGACTAACCCTTCCCATTCCTTTTTCCTTATGTACAGCATGATTTTTTTTTTTTTTTTAAGTCCCACTATAGTGATAAATTGTGTCTTGTTACCTGCATGCATTACAAATCATATTCCACTGCCGGGGAGCTTACAACTCTCTGTGATTTTTATTCCTGTACTTTTAAAACGTTTTATGAAAAATAACCTTGTAACTGCATAAGTGTTTGCTGGTGTTGGGCTTTGATTTGTTTCTATTACAGGGTGACAGCACTGCTGAGTAATTTCACTGCAGAGCAAACAGCGTTGTCACCTTGTTATAGGATAAGAAAAACATTGGATCAGTGGTTTATTAACCAATTGACATCCGCGGTGTTAAACCCCCTTCCCATCCAGGCCATTTTTCAGTATTTCTCGATCCTGCCACGGCACAGAGCCGTGACAGGGGAGGGACTTGATTCCCCCTCCCCGCTCTGATCCTCCAGCTTTGACTGGGAGAACGGACAGGGGAGGGGGCGGGTACAGCTGGCTCTGCCTCTAGGTAGGCAGAGCCAGCTGTCACTCACGCAGCTGGGCGGATCCAGACATAATTGTCGGGATCCGTTTCAGCTGCGGCGTCTCAGTATATAGTGAGCTACAGCTGGCGGTATACTGAGCCTAGGGTGACGGGAGGACGCTAGTTTGTGTCCTCCCGTTACCCTTAGGAGAACTATGGGGAAAAGCTGTAACCCCATAGTTCTCCTTTTTAAATATATGTTACATGGGGACAACATAACTGCTGTGCTAATGCTACTGACAGACTGCATTGTATGTCCACTTTTTTGATTTTGCCCATAGATCCTCTTCACCCATGTGACCGCATTCACGGTTTTGAATTTCTTATCTGCGTGCTTTTGTCCCGTGATCTGCTTACGTTCTTTTTCTCTTATGTCTCCCTCCGCAGGTGTGTTTGTTGGTCTGGGCCTCAGCGGGATCATCCCCACATTGCACTTTGTCATCGCTGAGGGGTTCCTTAAAGCCGCCACCATGGGCCAGATCGGCTGGCTGATTCTCATGGCGTGCCTTTACATCACGGGGGCCGCACTGTACGCTGCCCGCATCCCCGAACGATTCTTCCCCGGAAAGTGTGATATCTGGGTAAGAGCTGTAGAGTATCTTAGTACACATGGAGATGTAATGTTTACCTCACTTCCAAAATACTATCTAAGCAGAAGCAAAGTTTCATTGTGTGTGTGTTTGCACACATTTTGAATTTCAAGGTTGTAAATGATGCGTTCATACTTCATCGCACAACTGTGTCTTGTGGCTTTCTCAGTAGGTTTTCCAGCTCCTGTTCTAGGGTTCTCTGCATAGCTGAGGTCGTAAACTTTACACGCCTCCCTCTTCGTATGCCATTAAGCTCCTACATATACATAAGAGGCAGAGAACATCACTGCACACTACAGGGTGGCTCAAAATAAATGGCACCGCAATGCAGTAATGACTGTTATGTGCGCGATTTAGGGACCACTTGATGTCTGCTGGGCAGGGTGGAGTGTTTTTAAGCTGGCCATACCTGGATCAGCAAATTCCTGCTGGCACCACCCACAGCGTGACAAAATGTCTTGAAAATGCCAGACCAGTGCAATACATTTTGGGGATGTGCTCTGCATGATGATCGTAAAGAATAGAGAGTCCCTCTGCACTCCTTACAGCTTTCCTTGGCCAAAATGGTAATAATGGTGCTTGCAGTGACAATCATGGATGCCACCGTGCACATCAACAGTAGAAAACAGGAATCGCCAGCACTCAATAAGTAGTTTTCAAAGCGTAAACGTCCATTTAATTGGACATAATCGGACTTTACCTCCATCTATTGCTGAGGAAGTAAATGGAATAGACTCTGCAAGCTGGCATATGGATAATATAAAATATGAATAACGCAGATTTGTGTGTGCGTGCATGCGCATGCACGCACTATTCTGTCTTTGGGTGGTTGTCTGTTTCTGGGGGAATCCACTGATCATGACAGCCAGTCATGGACAGCTGACCAGCCTGGGTGTGTGTTCGTTAGTGTGTGTGTGTGTGTGTTCGTTAGTGTGTGTGTTCGTTAGTGTGTGTGTTCGTTAGTGTGTGTGTTCGTTAGTGTGTGTGTTCGTTAGTGTGTGTGTGTTCGTTAGTGTGTGTGTGTGTGTTCGTTAGTGTGTGTGTGTGTGTGTGTGTGTTCGTTAGTGTGTTGTGTGTGTGTGTGTGTGTGTGTGCGCGTGTGTTCGTTAGTGTGTGTGTGCGCGTGTGTTCGTTAGTGTGTGTGTGCGTGTGTTCGTTAGTGTGTGTTCATACAGGAAAGTCTGAAGACTGCTGCTGTACTTAAACAAGTTTGTTCTGACCCAACCTTTTTGTCTCTTTCCAGTTTCACTCCCACCAGTTGTTCCACGTGTTTGTTGTGGCCGGAGCTTTCGTACACTTCCACGGAGTCTGCAACCTCCAGGAATTCCGCTTCACAGTGGGTGGCGGCTGTGCAGCCCAGGAGGTGCTGTAGGATCCTTGCCACCATGGAGGGGGGGAACGCAACACAGTCCAAGAACAACCTACCGCACAGGGATGGTAGAGAGGAGAGAAAGGTTTCTCAACCAGCCGCGTAAAGGAGCGGAGGTGAAAAAGATGCGGACGCACAAAAAGCCCAGACAAACTGTGGAACTAAACCATCTTACCTCAAACATACAGTACCGAGTGTATGAAGTTTAATTTATTCCTGGGGAGCGGGTCACATCTCTTTTACCCTTTCCGATTTGGCGGGGAGGGGGGGGTTATGGTCTCTCCGCACTGACGCGGTTTAAATTCTACTCTGCAGCTTGAGCTTCCGACCGAAAGAGAGTTTCCTGCGTGTGTCTCGTGGTCAATTGTCCAAACTTCTATTTATTTTTGTAACTACTTCTTCTGGGACGGGTGGGGGTCTTTAATAATATGTTTGTTTTCAACCTCTGGTAAGGTTCACGATTTGTATCCATGGTGGTGTTTTCTGTTCTGTGATCATTTCTGGGTAGACTTGCAAGGACCGGTCGGCAGATTTGTGCAAATAAATCATACAAAAATTTCTAGTTTTCACTATAAAACAAAAAAAAAAGTTTCTAGACCTTTTCAGAAATGGATAATATGATGAGTTTAAAGATAAAATTACAAAAATTCTGCTGTGTTTTAAAGATCCTCTGTACCGTTCACTGTTTTTCATGGACATGTTTTGCACAAGTGTGGAGCAGGGTGTGCTGGTGATTGGCGGATTGTGGGAGTCCATCCAGAGACAAAGCACAGTTACTGTCTTGGGGGACTTTGGTAGGTCTTGCTCTATGAATTGATAGCATAAGAAGGACCTTAGAGTGGTTCCAGTCAAAAGGAGGCCTGGGGTTTGACCCCATAGCGGGACCACATTCACCAGAAACAAAAGGCTCCCCAAATTATCTCACATATTGAACGCCTAGCAAGGACTTGTGACTGCTCAGGGGATGTGGGTAGGCTTTTCCTCTAGAAACTAAAGAATAGCTGATAAAGGATAACCTAGACTCCACCTTCTGGGAGGCCTAGAGTGTGACCCCATTGCAGTGCCACATCCATCAATAACTAACGGGCCCTCAGAATGTGTCAAACACTGGATGTGTAGCTTCTCTATAAAACACGGATGTGAATACTTTTGTAGTTTCATATTCGTTAACTCAAGGCAAAGAGTTGAGCGATAAACTTGATTAGTGATTTATTTTTTGGGGTTTTTTTTTGTTGCATGCTCCCTTTGGCAAATAGTGAGCTGTGAGGTAAGCCTAAGTATAAATCCACACAGTTCCCACTCGCATGCTGTTTTGGTCAGATCCTCACAGCCACCGGGACATACTTTCAACCGTTAATAAGATCTACTAATGGAGTGTTATCAAAAGGACTTGGTGACATTTTATAACACTGGTGTAGTAAGGAACCGGAACTTCAGAAAAGGAACACAGTGTTGGGGTGGGGCCGGGGATAAAATGCAAGATTCTTAGTCTAGTGGTTTTGTGTCCTCTAGCACTCCATAGGTACCAACTAGAGTCCTGCTATGTATTACATTAAAATTTAAAAAATCTGGGGGGGTAGGGGGGGGTGTGCTATTACTCATCACCTATACATATCTCCTAGCAGGAGACTCTGGGATTTCACAGCAGATAACTAGCCATGTAGGGTGCTAGATCCAGCAATAGTACATACCCAAACATTATCATTTACAAAGGTAATATGAAAATGAGAAAAAAAAAGTCCAAATACATACATTCCTTTCCTGCTGCCCTTGCCTCTCAGTGTGAGTCTCTGTGTTTCCCCCGCAGCTCTCCCTGATTTCTCCATCTGACCTCGCTTCACTGGAGGAGAAAGTGGTAACATGAGGTCAGATGGAGAAACCAGGGAGCGCTGTGGGGGGACCACTAAGATCAGCGCTTCCAGAAGTCTCTGTTTCCCAGCAGACCTGAGAGGGGACCGGTTCTCTGCTCCGGAGCTGCGTTGAGCAATAGAAAACGTTTGTGCTCGGTTTAGAACATTTTCAGATGTGACGGGGTCCCTTTAAATGGGGGCAGATCAATAAAACATTCTATTATTGAGGAGAGAATTTTTGTAAAGCTTCAGAATTTTATCTGCTAGAGTCTGCTATGTCTTTAGTGTTCTAATGAAGATGTACAATGAGTATAACCAGAAGCCCCTTCTTGCTGAAATATAGGACGTTGGACTCGTTTGTGTTGCCCTTTAAATCCAACCAGATTCTTCTGTTCTCCTTTGCTGCACCAGGGGAAGGAAGATGTTGTTGCTATGGGTAACAACGACAGTTGTTGTGACGGACCAGTCTTGATGGTAGGGAGATGTTTAGAATCTTCGTGGGTTCTTTTGATCAGTTGCAGCTTTATTGCTCTGCACACGTCCCTGTCCTGCATTGGCTGCATTGTATTCTATTATCAGTATTGAGTATGGCTGTCATTCTTTAGGATCCCTGAGAGTAGGACATGGGGGGGGGGGGCTTTGTGACTGCTGTGTGTGTTGAATACAGTAAACTCCCAGTTATCTGGCACCCATGGGGATCGCTAGGTTGCTTGAGAGTAAATAGTAACTGTCAAGCAACCACCCCTAAACCATGGCCATATTCACCTGCCCACTTTCTTCCGCAGCAGACGGGCGACTCTAAGCAGCCGGGAGCAATAGCCAGCCTCTTTTTGGCCGTTTCAACCTGCCCATTGAGCAGAGGAGTGGACCAGAGAGAGAAAGTTTTCTCTCAGGTCTGCTCCACTGCTCAGTCCAATGAGTACAATAGCAGGCTGGCTATTGCTCCCCATTGTTTAGACTCTGATGCTGACTGCGGAATCTAGCCGGCAACAAGATGTAAACAAAGAATTTCGTTAGAAAGCAAAATGTTTTAGTGTGCATCAAGCCAGCAGCAAAAACAGAAAAAAAATCGGCATGTCCTCTGGGTTTTTTTTGCCGGTTGCTTGAATGCCGGATAATGGGGAGTTTACTGTAGTAAGGTTCAGGGTGCACACTGGGAAGTGACCAATGGCATAACTGTCAGGGGACATCTTCGATGTTATATAATCGCTCTCTTCCTCTTGGCTTATTTTCTGCATCCTAAATACCTATTGTCATTACAATACCTGTTACCTCCAGGGTGGAGGTGATAGTGTCCTTCCTGACCCCTCACATGGGCGGTCACATCAATTTTCTGGATCCAAACATTCCCCTAATATTCTTTAGTACAGTAAATGCCATTATTGGCATTTTGTTATGAAAAGCACCTGGAACAAGTTGTGTTGTCTGAGCGGGTAATGGGGAGGGGTTTGATTCTGCTGGAAATCTTGTTGTGTGTCCCCAATGGCCAGATTTAGTCTGTTATGTTAATGGGACTGAAAGTCAGGGGACCTCCCCCCTCAAGGGGCAGTTTTTACATTGTAGAGGCAGGAAGGGGTTTTCTGTGTCTTAGTACCTGAGATGGCACCAACTGAAAATACATCTTACTGATAATATAACTCCATCTCCTGGCCACAGACAGCAGAGCTCGTTCCCTGCACCCCCCGGCCGATGTCTGCACTCTGACATACTCCATCGTCAGGGTGAGACTCCTAATCTTGTGTCTGAGCTCATTAAATGCTTAGACTATGATTGTAATCTGCGAGTTTCCCACCTAGAATTGCAGTCCTTGTCTCCATCATTATGCCCATGTCATTGCTCTCCTTTCTGCTCAATGTAAATCTTAGAGCTCCTCGCCCTTTACTGAAGGAAGTTCATTCTGGGTTTCTGTATAGAGGAGCCAGGTGCTGACCGTTATCTGCTGCTTCTGAATTTCTGTATAGAGGAGCCAGGTGCTGACCGCTATCTGCTGCTTCTGAATTTCTGTATAGAGGAGCCAGGTGCTGACCGCTATCTGCTGCGTCTGACTTTCTTCATCCAACAATTTCGGGTTCGCCATGAGAGTTGTGGTTAAGGGGCCCGTTCACGTCTGTGCAAATGTCACACACACAGATTAATGTGTATGGGCCCTTATAGTTTCCGTTTAAAGACGCATTAAACTGCAGGATGTGAACCAGCTGCACAGCGAGTAATGGGAATTGTATTTGGAAATAAAGTTTTTTGGGTTGGGGGGGGGGGGATTTATCCGAACCGGAGCAGTTGCCCATCGTGACCAATCGGCTTCTTTCATTCTCAAAACTTAACTGAACAAGCTGAAGAGTGTAGCTGATTGGTCGCCATGCAGCTGGCTTTGCCCATGTAGAGGCAGAGCCAGCTGTACCCGCCCCTCTGTTCCTCCACTAAGCGCTGGAGAAACAGAGGGGAAATCCCTGCAGGGAGCGATGACTGACAGTTACCGCTATCTGCAGGGAGGATAGGGAAGTCGGTGATCGGCGTTACGTGTTCCCTGACTTCCCGATCAATAGAGCCGACTTGTGACGGCTTCAGTGTCACAGGTCGGATTGAGTTATGGGGAGGAGTGTTTTTCGCTCACCCCATAATTCTTGTAATTAGAGCCACATTTAGGTTTGGGAACTGAAATCTCCTGCTACTTTATCTCTATCCCAGAGGTAGGCAACCTCGGCCCTCCAGCTGTGGTGAAACTACAATTCCTATCAGGCCTATGGCTGTGAAGAGTCTTGCAATGCATCATGGGATGCCAAGTACCACCACAGCTGGAGGGCCGAGGTGGTCTCCCCTGATCTATCCATTGTCCTTCCTGACTAGCTAAAGCTGGCCATACACTGAATAGGTGTGAAATGGTTAGTCGGAGGATTTGATCTAGTCACAGAGTCAATTACTAACATTAGAAAGCCCTTAAAGGTTTCTTCCAGACCGGCTCCTAGAACGGGATCCCAGCTTCTGTGCATCGCACATCCGCACTACAATATGGACCATTTCTACCCAACCAAAATCACATTCAGGGTTAGAATTTAGTTTGCTTAAAAATAGGAAACAAGAAACATTTCCCATCCCCCTTCAACTTTCCCCGACACTGCTGCTGAAATGCACATTCATTAGATCTTCGTTACGTTCTACTGGTCTTTGGCCAGCTTTATTTCTGTGCTCTTCTGCCTTGTCTTTGTACCCTCCAGGTGAGTTTATTTCCTGTACTTGGGATAACACAACGCTGTTTTATGCAGAGTCCCCAAGACAATGGGGGAGAAGCAGCTCTGACTGGAAAGATACTTGATGATAAAAACACAAAGACGCTAAAAAAAAAAAAAAGTCATAGATTGTATTTAGCAAACGTTGCAGGATAGTGTATACAGACCAATGGTCTAGCGTCATCTGGTGGGAGAAAAAAACAAAACCCTTTAAGGTTTGATTTGATGACATCCACATGCATGCCCTGCGTACAGAAATGTCCCTTTATTCTAGGAATATAATAGGACCCCATAGAACAATGTGTCGCTGCCCCCCAGTGGCAGGAGAGAGTCGTTGCAGCAGATCCTGCTTCGTTCAGCACACCTCCCAGAGCTGCTGGCCAAGATTTACATCCTGATTGCCTTACCTGTCTCAGCTCTCGTGTGAGGGAAGGAGCGTCGGCCAGATTCGCCCCATGCGCCCCCGTTCAATATAGGCTGTCACCTGTTCACTCCCTGCTTCAGTCCTCAGTACTATGTGGCCTTGTTAATAATCTCATGTTTATGGTTTACTGTGAGACGCAGCAAAGCACACTGAGGGGGTGAATGGAGATTTTGGGGTCTAATTCTCATTTCTCGCTGTAAAATTCACTTTCTGGTAAATAAAAAGGCATTTTAACATTGTGCCAGTCTCTCTCCTTTTTATATTCTAGAATTCTGTGTTTTTATGGTGTGGTGAGAATCAAGGGAGAAAGAGAAGAAGTCTGTGATCATGAAATACACCGAGATTCTTCTATTCCTTTTCCTAGCTGGGCGGGGCTCATGATGGTGAACTAGTGTATATGTGTCCAGTGAAATAAAGCTATATATGTTTTGGATGTAATAAAATGCTGTATTCCTTTAGTGCAGTGGTTCTCAACCCGTGTAACCTCAGGACCCACATTTGTCCTGCAGTGCAAGCGATCAAACTGGATGGGAGGTGTGTTGGGGGTGCCGTTCAAATGAATGACAACGCAATGCACCTCCCACACCAGAACGTACAGTAGGCGTGATTGCGTGGTAGTTTGTGATTAGAACACAGACACAATCTCACAGACATTCACACTCCCCCCAAAATGTTAGGGGTCCAGTGTGGGCTGCTGTGCTGTGACGGAGCTCCATCCATATGTGCATTGCTTGTACTGGTCTCTTGCATTCCATGTAGGGGTGTCGGGAGCCAGAATGTGACGTCATTCCGGTCACGCAAGGATGGAGCTCCCTCATGGCCATACCCCCGTATTTTGAACTGACACTATGGGGGTGGGGAGGGAGGCTGAGGAGCCTTTCACCTACTCCACTGAAAGGCATGCAGCAACCCACTAAACATGGGGTCGTGACCCACCAGTTGAGAACCACGGCGTTAGAGGAGCGTTTCTCAATTCTTTTTTATGCATGTCACCCTTTAAAAGAATGCAAAATCTTGAGACACCTAGTCTAAAAATGTAAAGGATTTTAAAGTGAACCTTTACGTCCTTTGACATCGTGCAGCTCTGCATACTGATATGAAATCAGCTCGCATTCATTGGCCAAACAAACATTTTTTATTTTACTTACAATTTCACTTCCTGGTCCTCTTTGGCACCAATGATGTAATGTACCCAAGCATTGCATCTTGGGAAGGTGACAGAGGAGCATTGCTGGGAAATCTCATCTGTAATCACATGAGATCTCAGGGAATGGCATTTTCCTCCCCTGAGATGATGCGCATGGTCACATGTCCTAGTCACATGTGCCAGAGTTCCAGGAAGTAAAATGAGCTGTAGAAACCTGCCCTTAGCTAAAATGGTCACTGTGAGGAGAATGGGAAAGAAAATAAAAATAAGGTAGGTAAAGAATACAAAGCCTACATCGTCCAATGGGGACACCTGTTCCCCTTCCTATTGTATCTCCAGGATGAGATGTGGAGGTTATTCTTACCAAGGTAACACAGTTGGGGGCAGGGGAGCTGATGGATTTGAATAATTCCCTACTCCAGGGGTAGGCAACCTCAGCACGCCATCTGTTGTAAAAATAGAAGTCCCGTGAGGCACTGAGACTCTTAGCCACAGACATGACTCCTATAGGCAGAGGCATGATGGGTTTGTAGTTTTACCACAGCCGGAGTGGCAAGGCTGTCACCCCTGTCCTACACCGAGGCTAAAATATGGGGCTTTATACACTTTAAGGTCAGAAAATCGTAATTGTACATTAAAATGTGTAATAATCTATTGAGGTCTGTTCTCTGCAGAGGCTGCATCAATGTTTTTTCCATCAGAAAATCCGCAGACATCCTTTGGCCAGTGGGAGGGGGAGGGGGAGGGTACTGTTCCTACATAATAGTGTAACATGAAGGTGCTACTGTAACGTCGGCTACTTTTCTCTACCGCGTTCACTTTCTGTCCTGTGTTCATTTTCAACCAAAACTAGAAGCTTGCATAGTACCGTTGGCGGCACAGATCCATAACGCTCGAATATCCCCCTTCCTATGCAAGTGTTGGGACTTAAATAGAAACAATTGCGAACATATTTGGTTTCCCCTTCAACACTTATTGAGAGACAAATGACTAGACAAAAAGAATCCATTTATTTGCTGGAAATGTTGCAGATTATAGAAATGAGAAGACGGAGCGCGGAGGGAATCGATTGAATGGTAGAAACGGGTTGATGAGACGTCATTTGAAGATCTCTAGTGCGGTCAGTCAGTGATGTTGGTCCATTTATGGCATCCATTGGAAGTCTCAGGAAGTCTACGACTACATTGGTACTGGCCCGGGCCCACACCGACCCCTCTAGATGTTATACAACTACAAGTACCAGCAGCCTGAGACTTGTCCCTCCTACACTGCTTGTGACATGCCACAAAAGCCTTTCTACTCCGTATCTGGAAAACGTTGCCGCTGGTCAGTAACATTTCCCCCCAATCAAATGGCTTGCTGAATAACTGAAATAAAAGTATAAGTGTTTTAACCCCATAAGTTACCTACAGCTCCTGATTGTTCACCTAGAGAGTCGCAGGTTTCTGTATGGCGCAGATGCTGCAGTTCCTCCGGTGGCTCCTGCTGTCCCCAGGACATTGCTTATGTTGCATAGATAATTGTCCTCTGCTTTGTAGTCACAAGTGCAACGTTGGGGGGAACATTATAGGGAGGACACCTGGGACCATGGATTGTCCGGGAGCTTGACACGTGGCATTATTGGGTCACCGCAATGAGATGGCGAGAGATGTGAGCAGCAGCATAAGTGAGGACGTCAGGGCAGAGCCTCTGCCACAGTCCTGCGCGTTTTCCTGCAATGGGGAAGCAGCAACGTTAAACATAGAGGCATATTTATAGAGCAGCAAATCAGTCAATTATTATTATTATTATACAGGATGTATAGAGCGCCAACAGTCTGCGCAGCGCTTTACAATACAAGGAAGACATTACAATCACAAGACAAGACGGTAAGGAGGGCCCTGCCCCTGAGGGCTTACACTCTAGAAGGGAGGGGCCAGTGACACATAAGGAGGGAGCTGTGTGGGGATGAATTGTTTGAGAACGTGATGGTTCAGTGGTTAGGTTGAGGTGGGATACAATGAATACACATGTGCCTAGAAAATTCTCTTGCAGTGAATGTCAGATTCACACTTAACAAAATTTGCTCCATTATGTCCATAAGACATCCTGAAAAATGTGTTTGTGTTAGAGGTTTACTACAGTAAGGCTCCAAGTACAAATTGAAAGGCATCTCCATTAGGGACGAGCGGGTGATTTCGTAAAAAAATTACCCATTTCGTACTTGCCAAAATTTTGCTGAACTTGCCGTGCTGTGTATGGGGACATTAGATGAAAAAAAAACACCTTTCCCCTTTGAAGCTAGGAGCATGGTGTTCTAGCTGTGGGACCCAGTTGCCAAGGGACACGGCTTTGTTGTCACTGACAATGCTTGGTTCACCAACAAGCCATTGACAGTGTCAGCGTTTTCATAAACAAAGTCACATGATTGCAATTCCATTCACTTTTTCATAACGTCACGTGAACGACATTACAACGCTGTCCACATGTCTTCGTAAACAAAGGGATAGGATTCATGTTAGGGCTATGGTTGAAAAAGAGATCCCTCTAGACCTGGGGTTACCTTCGGAGATGCCAACTTATGGCACAAGAACAGGTCCAGCTCAACTATCCTGGACCAACTATCCTGGACCAACTATCCTGGACCAACTATCCTGGGACCTGTTCTTGTGCCATAAGTTGGCATCTCCGAAGGTAACCCCAGGTCTAGAGGGATCTCTTTTTCAACCATAGCCCTAACATGAATCCTATCCCTTTGTTTACGAAGACATGTGGTTAGCGCTGTAATGTCGCTCACCAATGTGATTGCAATCGTGTGACTTTGTTTATGAAAGCGCTGACACTGTCGATGGCTTCTTGGTGAACCAAGCATTGTCAGTGACAACAAACTCCAGCCTAGTTTTTGCTTCCCAATTGATTCCAATGCATTTTGCTCACCCGTCTTCTCCATGTATGAGGACAACCCAAACAAGTCAAAGCTCATCTCTAATGTGGAGGAACTCGAGTGTCCTTCACAGAGCCCTGATCTCAACTCTACCGGACACCTTTGAAATGAACTGGAACACCAATGATGAGCCAGGTCTTCTCATCCAACATCAGACCCTGACCTCAGAAGTGGGCACACATTCCCACAGACAGTCCAAAGTCTTGTGTTTTAATGGCCATGGTTTGGAATGAGATGTCCAACAAGCTCATACCAGTGTGTGGTCAGGTGTCTTCAGACTCTCTGCCATATAATGTATGAAGCCAGTAGCTAAATGGGAATGGTCCAATAACCGTTATTGCACAGGGGCCCCTTTGGTGTTTATATCCATCGCCAGAACTTACCTCTGGGTGGAAGTCGTGACAGGAGTGCGGCCGCCGTCTCAGTTTCTGGGACCTCATTCGCTCACACTTCACAGAAGCGTTATGTGCGACCAAGTTAAGGCAACAAACACTGGAGTATATCTATTACTGACCCGGAACAAATATGGAGATCAAGAGTTCTGACTTCACTGGATGCATGCTTGTCAGTAAGCCGGTGATTTAAAAACTGCTGCAGCCAGATGACTAGTATTTTCTGAAGGAAATCAGTGGTAACCTTCATATTTATCTCATGGTTGGTCTTCCTCATACTCACTACTACTGAGGTGCATTAGAGTTTAGTACAATCACATTTCCTGATTCAGTCAATGGACATTTCCAGAAATCCACCCCAGGAGTCAGGTGTTCAATAAACTTTATTCCCCATAGTAGAAGAAGGAACCCCTTTCCCCCCACTTCTGCAGAAGTCCTAGTCTAGTCCTAACTCTAATCTATGAGAGCCACCATCTTGAAGCATATACAGTATATAGCAAAGGATGACATGGGTGCAGGTACACCAGGAGGTAGCCCATTCCACCTTAAAGGCACAGGGACACACCAGAAGCCCCGCACATCACAACGGCAGCTGAAGCCCCCAGTGTGTCCCACTATATGGTCCCACTCAGGAACTGCCATCACAGAAAGGATATATTTAACTTCTTTGGCTTGTAATAAAACTTGCGGCAAATTGCTGCAGTCGCAGGCCGAGTCACTGACAAGGAGGAGAAGATTTGTGTTCACAACCTGCTGCATGACGAACATCCTGCAGAGAAAGAGAAGAGAGACATCAGGGAGGCGGAGTGTACAATGGGGACCATTCGCAGAGTAATCTTCGCTGCTTTGCTTCATGCAGCCTGATGTTTTACAGAGCCCAATAGCTCAAGCTAGAATTTACACACACCGCAAATGAGTCAGAAGAGTGCCCTCTCCTTCCTCTCCCCCCCCCCTCCACGCTGGCTCCATTCAAACAGGACTGTATGGAGCTTCATTAAGAAAGAGTCTAAAGGAAACAGCTTCAGCTTTTTTACAAAGCACCCAGTGTTCTGTGACACCAATATTCTGAGCAACCCCTTTATTTTTTGCAAAGTTAGTTTTTCATTTACATATAAAAAAATATATATAAAACAGGTTAAAAATGCAAAGACCTAAAACAAAATTGGCACAAAACTCCTTGGAGCAGTATCCAGCCCCAGGAACAAAATAATAATAATAAAAACAATAAATAATAATAATAATGCAGCCACCAAATTTAAGGACTGGTAAGTTGAAAAATATTGCAGCTTACCAGTCCTTAGATGTGGTGGCTTTTTTAGGCCTCGTTGTATCTTATTTTTGCCAGGTGATCCTGCCAGTAACACACTTCCTGTGCTAGGGTGACAACGCTCACTCAATGTATCTGTGGTAGGGCAGCTTTGTTGCCCTAAGAGAGGAAGCATGTTACCACTACATAACAGCTCTCACTCTTCCCATCTCCTTAATATAGAGGGAGAAGTTTTGTAATCCACAGAGATAGCTGCCGGGAACAATATAATTGATAAGAGAGCAGCAGTAGCAAAAAGCTCACAAGATTTCTAGCAGGATCAACAGGTATGTATTTGCACGTTTTTGAAAAGATAAAACAAAACACTTTCATTGGTGTATTTAAGAGACAAAAAAAAGAGTGCAATGTTATGGTTTACATACGTTATAAATACAGCTCTTACTCTAAAGCCTGCACTGCAGCCAGAGGCCACAAGATGGCGCTCACAGCACACCCCAGACCAGGCTGCAGCCCATACAGAATATTATGTCACCTCCTGATACACTAACTATACTGTAACATAAAGGAGAGCTCCAGGAAGTATATTGGGTGAGGAATGTGGGCGGTAATGACATATAACTTCATGCTTTCCTTTATGTAGCTCTCTGATGGGAGTGCAATGGTACTCAATTTGTACAGACCCCATGCATTGAATTGGTGGTCGCAATGGTGGCCCCATAAGATTATAGAGCAGGGAATAATCGAATTGAGATTGAAGGAAGCATTGGGCTAGCGGGACCGCGGCAATCCCATCAGTGTTTCTGAAGAGACTTATCTTATAAGGACAGGATGGGGATATGTATCATTAACACATTCCACCATCCTCCCACAGTCCTTTCTGAAGGTAATTCCTGAGGCTCTGCTTTAAAGAACTCTAAAGGGAAATCATGTTACTTGAAGACAAACATCGGCTGAAATCAGCAAACACAACAGATTGATGGGGAAGGTGAGATGTCCACAATGTTTCCCTGTGTGAAAGAAGGCATCGCTTTAGATGTGACAGCTTCCTGTTCATCCCTACTGACCAATTACAAGCAAACGTGGGGACTAATAGGGCGCTGGCAGTACTTTCTTTATTATTCCTCACCGTACAGAGATCCCTGGGTCTGTCAAAGGACAGCAGGAGCAAGGAAAAGAAATGAATGTTTACAGTTGCATACTTGCTTGATTTGCCTAAGAGCTCTATGTAAGGAAGAGGCACCTATCCTGTAAAGTGAACATCTGAAGCCGGCGTTGGTAGGTAGACAAGACTCACCTTTGGCAGTGGCCGCACTCAATGAGCCCATTAGCCTCCTGGATGGAGGTTTCATGTATGAAGGCCGGGTATTCGGTGTCGCAGGGCTGTAGCATGTCGTGCTTTTTGTGCTTGTGAGCTGGTGATAGAAGAAGGAAGGCAGGCAGTTACACATTGCATCAACTCCAGCTCTTGTGCCTGAAAGGGCCACATGACAAAACCTTGACTGATGAACAGATACAAACTGAACATATTCCTTCTATTCGTGGAATACAGCAGCAGGTGAAGCTTCATTTCATATACATGCAAAGCATATCCGTCTCCCTCTGCTGACGTGTCCCTACAGGAGGCTTCCACATTCATATGGGGCACGTGAATTCTCAGGTCAGACATAGGCTGGAGCGTAGTACACAGGCTGCCACAGAAAACTTTCAAGCTTTTTGTTTCCTCCCTTCACTAGTCGCACAGTGTACATCATGGGAAATGCAATAAAGATTATTGGCACCGGCAGCGCTATCCTCTGGCACAAAATGATTGATCTATGGGCGCAGCATGTGAATTCTCTGTTCCTGCACCCGGCAACATATGAACCGTCTCTGTGTGATCCATCTAAAACTGTGTGTGGGTTTGACCTTCCACCAGAATGAGTGATGGGGGATAGATGTATATGTAGTTATTAAAGTGGACCTGTCATCAGATATATTTTTTCATGCATGCGCAGTAATGTGTCAGTGTAACACTCCCAGGTATTTATTTCCTCTCACTGAGATCACAGTACTCCCCCTGGCAATGCCTTCATCTGCTTTTCTCTCCAGAAGGATGGAGCCATCTATGTTCTGCCATCATCCATCTACTTCCTGGACTACGATTACGGCTTAGAGATGACACAGCCATGTAAATGCCGCTGCCTGTGCAGTTCTTGGCTGTGTTAGCAAATGTCTGACACAGGTCAGTCCCTGCTGCAGCCTCTCACCTTGTGACTTGTTATAATGTACAGTCTGATCGCTGGGGAAGAGGAGACTGAGGTAATGCTTCCTCCTGCCTGCAGCAGACAGATCACTGGGGGAGGGGAGACTGAGGTAATGCTTCCTCCTGCCTGCAGCAGACTGATCACTGGGGGAGAGGAGACTGAGGAAATGCTTCCTCCTGCCTGCAGCAGACTGATCACTGGGGGAGAGGAGACTGAGGTAATGCTTCCTCCCGCCTGCAGCAGACTGATCACTGGGGGAGAGGAGACTGAGGAAATGCTTCCTCCTGCCTACAGCAGACTGATGATATCATCTCAGCCTAGGCAAAGCCACTGATTGGAGCACGTTGTCAGCTTTTTAATGATGAAATGTGGAGCTTTTCTGAAAAATGACATTATTGCTGTATATTGTGACATCATGTAGCCTTGCAAAACAATTGAGAGGTTCACTTCAAGTGATAATTCAGCTTACAGAGCACATCAGAGTTAAGACTGAAATATACAAACAGTTTCCACAGTTGGACGTCTGTGATGTCATACTCGTATTGCCTCCTGCCGTGCCGTATAGCTGTTCAGAGGGTGACAACGCATTTCTGCAGATCTGCTCGACTTCCCCATCCAGCTTACTCTTTGCTCTGCTTGTGAACATCCCCACCCTTGTGTCATCCATGCTGAGTTTGCTCACTCCTATAAGCCAATCTAAGTCCTGCTCCCTCATACCCATCAGCTTACAGGGCAGCCACTCCAAGTTTAAGTCTGATCTCAACTTTCAGCTGGAGTTAGCTTAACATAACGCCAAATGCAAAGCAATATGTAAAAAAAATGATACATAGATAAGATAAGGAAGATAAATGAGATAAGGCATCCCCTCCATTATCATATCGCCCGCCAATACTTACAGTGATGAAAAAAGGATTTTGCTGGAGGTCACATGGCGGGTCACATGATGGGTAAGGCATCGATGAGTTCACATGGATGAAGGGTTGATGAGAGAAATGAGGAGAGATGATGGGATATCATGAATCACATGGGAAAATGACAGCTATATATCACAGGACCCCCCTACTAGAACCATTCCAAGAGATAGACCTGGCAAGAGAAACCACACGCCCAACACAGACCCCAGAAATATATAAACCCCACCCACTTCTAGGTAAATTCCCGCCTCCATGCTCCAGTTTCGGGTGATTCCTGGACAGCATTAGCAGTTACCTGGTGCCTTCTATAAATGATGTTGTTAATTTGTATCTGTACAATATAAAAGGTCTACACTGATACATAGACATTGTCCTCCGGAAAGACAGGATCAGTATGGAGGGGCAGAGGACAGGATCAGTATTTGGGCAGAGGACAGGATCAGTATTTGGGCAGAGGACAGGATCAGTATGAGGGGGAGGGGGCAGAAGACAGGATTAGTATGAGAGGGGGGCTCTACCTTCTGCTGTGTTCTCCGACGACCAGGGGCACAGACTGAACTCCAAGACAAACCTGCAGGATAAAGGTGTGAGGGGGAGGTGAGATTTTACTTTTTTTAAGCTAATTTGATTTTTTACAACTTTTATTTGACATATACACATAAATTTGAAAAGCTTAAAGAGACCCTGTCACCAACTTGAAATTGCAGGTAACAGCACTGAAAACAAAATTGTTTAAATGATTACTTGCAGTGTTTTCCCGTCCCATAAATCACACATAATATCCTCCCTGCCCGCCATAGCACCGTCCTCTTCCGGGAGTGTCTAATTACTGTATGTGCTGGCCCAACTACTCCACCATGCCCCTCCTTTTTTGTAGCTGCCAGGGAAGGAGCGAAGGGGAATACTATAGAGGGGCGGTAGCCAAACTTTGGCCCTCCAGCTGATCATGCCTCTGTAGCTGAGTCTTGCAATGTCCTATGGGACTTCTCAACAGCTGGAGGGTTGAAGTTTGGATACCCCTGCTTTAGGGTGTCACTTGAGTGAGTCATCACATTCAAGATGGAGGCACCCAGCAGAAGTCTCACAGCTTTTCGCCCTGATGAAGGGACCTTGTGTGGCCCCGAAACGTTGGCTTTTTTCATTGTGACGATTTGTCCAAATAAATGGACATATTGAATGATATTACTGAGTGCTGGTGATTCCTGTCTCCTGCCTTGTGTCTGCACGGCGCCATCCGTGGTCATCACTGCGAGCACCACTGTTGCATAGGCCGGAAACGTTGTGAGGAGTGCGGAGGGACTTTCTATCTACCTGCACATGGCAGGATTTACCAAAATAAGAATCTATGCATATAGTACATTAAATACACACATAATGGTACGGGAATATCTTTTGTGTCCGTTGATGCTATCACAAAGCTGAAATAATATTTTGATTGCCCTTTAATTTTTAAATACATGCCAGACACTTACAAGACCAGGTTGCTGAAAAGCCATTGGGCAGCCGAGAACAATGCAAAGAGCGGCTGAAAAAGACAAGTAAGGTGCACAATTCAGAATTTGGATTTGAAATGTAATTTAGAATCATGGTCAGAATTCTTCAACAGACATTATGGTGCCAGTTTGTGGAATGACATGGCTTATGGCACGCTGCATCCTTCTGGTGGTTGAGGAACTACAAGTCCCAGCATATCAGCTGGCAGGGTGAGGTGGCCCTTGTAGTGCCCCAACAGCTGATTGGCCAGGTTAATGTTGCAGCATATTTCTGTGTGGCATATGATCAGCCACCTTGTCCTACATGTCAGCGCAGACTTACGTTAAGCAGAGTGCGGCCTCCACTGTGATGTTGATAGGGGTGTTTGCACATCGCCTGGTAATCGTACAGCGTCACCCTGTAAGAGAAGAACCAGACATGGGACAAATCTCCCCACTACAGACAGCAACGACCAAAAAATGGGAAATGTCCAAAATATTTATGGTCACCCTAACAAAACTACACTGGCCACAGTTATTGGACAGACGGTGGGTCTTTCTAAGTGACACATTAGTAATGATATTGTACATTAAAGTGGACCTGTCATCAGATATAAACTGTCATGTTCAGTGCAGCATGCTAAGCAATGAGTCAGTGTAATACTTCCAGGCGTTTCTGGGGGAGGGAGACTGAGGCAATGCTCCTTCCTGCCTGCAGCAGACTGATGACTTCTAGACATGTGCACAGCATGAAAATTCATTTTCTGACAAAACGAATGGAAACAGAAAATGTTTCCACTCATTTCATCAAACAAAACAGATTTTTCTGCTGTTTCGGATTCAGAGGCAATGAGGAAACAGCACGCTGAAAATGCAGAACGACCGGTGGTGATATCGGCCACCAGCTCATTCTGCGCTTGCGCGCCGCCATCTTTGAGTGTATCTTGATGTACACATATGGGCGTCGCCATCTTGGTGTATACCAAGATATACTCAAAGATGGTGACGCACCTGCGCAGAATGCACCGGCAGCTGATAAGGCCACCGCTCGTTCAGCCTGTGATGTCACACAGAAAATGCAGAACGAGCGGTGGCCATGTTGGCCTCCGGCTCGTTCTGCGATTGCGTGCTGCCATCTTTGAGTGTATCTTGGTATACATCAAGATGGTGGTACCTGTATGTTCAGGTGACGCCATCATGGTGTATACCAAGATATGCTCAAAGATGGCGGCATGCCTGTGCAGAACGCGCCGTTGGCCAATATGGCAGCCGCGGGTTCTGCAAACTAATTTATGTATGCCTGAGTATAGTTTTAGTATATTCGGGCATATAATACATTTGGTTTTTTTTCCATTGACTTTATGGTCAATAATGTGTTTTCATTGTTTCAATGATTTGCCTTTAAATTCCTGGCCCCTCCCTCTACATGGGAGGAGTGATCACACATTCATTTCAATCCTGTGAGATCTGTGAGATATTTTACAATCATCATCTTTCACATGAAATTAACACGGAAACTTTCTCCTCAGGAATCTATATTGTATCTCCACCTGACGTGGCCCCTTTCCCTGCTCTGCCCGATACAACCCACACAACAACTGACTGGTAATTGACATGTTTGGTGTCTATTTACCCGACGTGACCCCGACTATTATATTTTACCAAAAATATGGGTGATAAATGGGTGTGGTTACTGGGGGTGTGGTCACTAAAGGGTGTGGCCACTGAGGGGTGTGGTCACTGAGGGGCGCTGTAAAGCTTTCTCGCACAGGGCGCCTAAAGGCCGGCCCTGATTCCACCGGAAGATCGCACTGTTTATATCAGTAGTTCTCAGCCTGTGTAACCTCAGGACCCACATTTGTCCTTGGTCATTTAAGGCCTTGTTCACACCAAGCGCGTTCCAGGAGCAGAGCAGTTACAGACCGGAGCAAAACTGCCTCCAATGTATTCCAATGGTATTTTTAGCTCCAGTTCACATCGCAGCGTTCCGTTCCAGAGCAGGTAAAAAAAACTGCAGCAGGCCCTATTTTACCTGCTCTAGAACGCATGCAAACGCATCAAAATCGCATGCAAAGCCCATTTTAAACTAAAAAAAAATATTTTCTTTTTTTTAACCAAAAACGGGCCGGATTGCATCAAAAACGCGGCACAACCCACTGCACTGCGTGTGCAGAAACTCATGCAGATCTGGTCTGCATTTGGTGTGAACAAGGCCTTAAGGCTTGTTCACACCAAGTGCAGAGCAGAGCAGTTACAGACCAGATCCAAACTGCGTCCAATGTATTCCAATGGTATTTTGGGCTCTAGTTCACACCGCAGCGTTCAGTTCCAGAGCATGTAAAAAAACTGCAGCAAGCCCTATTTTACCTGCTCTGGCTGTGCTGTGACGGAGCGCCATCCATATGTGCAATGCTTGTACAGCTCCCTTGCGCTCCCTGTAGAGGTGCCGGGAGACAGAATGTGACATCACTCAGGTCCAGGCACCTCTACAGGGCACGAGAGGGAGCTGTAAGCAATGTACGTATGGATGGAGCTCCCTCATGGCCACAGCTCCACCCCACCTCAAGCTGACGTTCAGCACCGGGCATCGTATTTTGAATGGTTGCTTGGCGTGAGAACTGACGGTGCTGCGCTATGGGGGAGGCTAAGGAGCTTCTCATGTAGAAAAGTGAAAGGCATGCGGTGACCCACTGAACACAGGGTCACGACCCACCAGTAAAGAACCAAGGCTTTATAGGCTCAAACATTGACATGTACATACAAAACGCTGCAAAGGTGGATGATATAATGTCAGGAATGAGGTGGATTCAGAACATCCGTGTCATAGATTCTGAAGGAAAAATGTTTTTCACAAAATCAATAATTCAGTAAATAACGCGCAGCAATGAACACGCTGCTGCTTGGCTTTTTGTATATTTATGCTGTTGTGTGAAACTTACTGTCTGAAGACCCCCATATTGAGAAGCTGCGTCATCAGAGAGCCGTCCACTTCACCCAGGAAAACTCCTGTCTGTGACAGAGAAGAAGGAGGAGAGTTAGAGAAGGGGGGGGGGGTAATTATTATTATGATCATGCTGTATAAATACAGAAATCGTCCATATAATGAAAACAAAGTTATTTTCTTTATGGTCATTGCAAAGGACAAGGGAGCACTCTGCATCTGGAGGAAAAGAGATTTAAAGGAGAACTATGGGGTCAGTGTTTTCCCCCATAGTTCTCCTTAGGGTAACGGGAGGACACAAACTAGCATCCTCCCGTTACCCTAAGCTCAGTATACCGCGAGCTACAGCTCCCGGTATACTGAGACGCCGCACCTGGAGCGGATCCCGACTTAGATGACGGGATCCGCCCAGCTGCGTGAGTGACAGCTGGCTCTGCCTACCTAGAGGCAGAGCCAGCTGTAACCGCCCCCTCCCCCGTCCGTTCCGCCAGTCAGCGCTGGCAGATCGGAGCGGGGAGAGGGGAATCCAGCCCCTCCCCCTGTCACGGCAGAGAGCCGTGACAGGATCGAGGGGTGAGCGAACCCGGTATGTGTTCGCTCACCTCCCGATCTACTGAGCCGACCTGTGACAGTCTCATTGTCACAGGTCGGCTTAGAACTATGAGATGAGTGGAAATCACTCACCTCATAGTTCTCCTTTAACCTTCACATATGGAAAGGCTTCTTCACAGTAGGAGCTGTAAAGAAAGGTTAATAGACTCCCTCAGGACTCAGTTCTAGCCAGGGAGGGGGGATGAGGGGAAGACAAAGGGAGAGAAGAGAGGAATGGGGAAGGGGGAGATATGGAGGGGATGTGTGAAATTATTGTTATGATCACCATGTATACATACATAAATGATCCATATAGTGAATGTGAAGACAATAGTGAAAGCAAAGTTTATTCACTTTAAGGTCATTGTAAAGGACAACGGGGCACTCTTCGTGTCTTGAGGAAAAGAGATTTAACCTTTGCATATGGAAAGGCTTCTTCACAGTAAGAGCTGTAAAGAAGGGCGAACATACTCCCTCAGGAGAGGGGAAGAAGGGAGAGAAAACATGGATTTAGGGGGTAAGGGGGAAGTGAAAGAGAAAGAGGGGAAGTTGTTCACTTTAAGTTCATTGGCAAGGACTAGGGGGCGCTCTTTGTGTCTGGAGGAAAAGCGGTTTAACCTCTACATATGGAAAGGCTTCTTCACAGTAACAGCTGTGAGATTGTGGAATAGACTCCCTCAGGACGTAGTTCTAGGCAGTTCAGTTGATTGTTTAAAAGCTGCTGGATGTATTCCAAAATGTGCAGAATATAACTGGATATTAATATTTATAAGTAATAACACCAGAGATGGAGATAGGGTTCTGTGTATGGAAGGTTTCATTTTATTTATTTATTAATTGTTTCTATTGGTTGAACTCAATGGATTTGTGTCTTTTTTTTCAACGTGACTATGTAAGTATATAAGATAGGAGAAAACAGAGGCTTGAGAGAGGAATGAGAGAACCAGGGAAGATAGTGTCAATGGAGAGAAGGGAGATAGAAGGTGAGGGTTAGAACAAGAAGGAAGAAAAAGAGGGAGCTTAAGGAATGGAGAACAAGTGGGGAACCAAAGAAAGAAGGGAAGCAGAGAGGTAGGAAGGGAG